CGTCTAAAGATAGCAGTTTATATCTGGAACTGGCACAGAAAACCTTCCTTTTTATTTTATTTTTTGCATTTTCCCAAATAGAGTAAATGTAGTCCTGATTTGAGCTGTCTATATAATGTGGATCTGGACCTGGTCTAATATGGTCCAGATGCTTACAAAGCAACCTTTACCAACCTGTAAGCATCACTAACAATTAACATCGGGCTGATAACTGGGGCTGTGAGTGATTTGTGATTTCCACTTTTACGATGAAGCACGTTTTCTGTGGACGTCAGGTGCAGTGAAGTGCTCATCGCCGGCAGTGGGATTCATCGCACCACGCATGCGCGGTATCGGTGACTCCCTTAAACAAAAAGGTAAACTTCGCTGAAATAAAGGCGAGTTAATGCGTCGTAACGGCATCAAAAAACCGACAACACCTTGGACTTTGCTGCATTTGCATCAGGGACGCGACTGTGGGGGCGTTTACGGAGATATTATAGATAGATAAATGTGAGAGCCTCCCATTGACACTCCAGAAAAAAAAAAAAATCGTCTCCGTTTGGAATCTTCTTGAAGACGGAAGTGAGCGCTCCTGTTCTCCGGTGCAGCCTCTGAACGCAGCGCCTGCATGTCAGTCCTTGAATGTTTGTTTACTTGTGTTGTTTCTACCTATGAGCTCTTCCCAAAGATACTTCCTCTGCCTCTGAGTTTGTCTCCCTGCGGTATGGCGGCGGCGGCGGCGGCAGAAGAGCCGGAGGACAGCGGCCGGAGCAGCCAGGGCGCGCTAACAGGTGACGGCGAACCTGAGGAGGCCGAGGAGTTCACCTGCCCGGCCTACTGCTCCGAGCTCTCCCGGCGGCAGAACGAGCAGCGGAAGGCGGGGCAGTTCTGCGACGTGAGCCTGGTCTTCAGCTCCGGCGGTCCGTCCTCCCGGGTCCACACCTTCGCGGCGCACCGCTCGGTTCTGTCGGCCGCCTCGCAGTACTTCACGCTGCTGCTGGGCGGACAGTTCTCGGAGTCCCGGTCCGGCAGAGTGGAGCTGAAGGAGTGGAGCTCAGCGAGCGGACCGGAGCCGGACACCGTGGAGCGGGTGGTCCAGTTCATGTACACGGGAGAAGTCCGGGTGACCACCGCCAACGTACACGAAGTGTTGGAACTGGCAGACAGGTGAATTATGCTTTTAAAACCATATGTATTAATCATTAACTGATCCCGGGGCTGAGTGCGCCACACCTGGTCTGTGTCCTCCTGAGAGCACAAGGCGGGACTGGACTGACTCACCTGAGACTGAGTCTACATGTTGACAGGACCAGAACATTAGTCAGCTCAGAGTAGCTGCTGAAAGATCTCACTTTAAGGTAAATGATCATGTCAGAGTTCTTCATACAGCAGGTTTGAAAACTACCTGAGTTGACTGAAGTGCTGCACATGTTGTCAGACAGGAAGCAACAAACCCAGTAAGGATGTTTTTTTTTTTTTTTTTTAAATCAGTAAAACAAAATACACTCGTAAAAAAGAAGATTTAAAAAAATGTACATTTATTAAAACAAACAAAAAAAAAAAAACATGACAGTATAGCAACTGGTAAGATCAATTTCTAAACATAAATAAATATTAAGACTAATTAAAGCAGTCTAAAGCTATTGAAAACCTGTCCTTGTTTAGGGTTTTTCTTGAAAATATAAATAGAGGAGGATTTATTTTATCTTCTTGCCTACTTTGCAAAGTGTTTGAGTGTCATTTAATAAAAAGAAATCAGCTCTTCCTCCTTTTTGGAGCTGCGACCACAAAGGCATCATCCCTCTTGGACCTGTTCTTAGGATCTAAGAGATGAACAAGACAGGAAGTTATCAGTCTGTTTGAGCCGTAGCTGTAAAGATTATTTAATTATCTGTTAACACAGAAAATTGCAAGATAAATGCTTGTCAGAATTTTCTCAAAAGTCCAAGTTGTTGTCTTTAAAATTCATCTTTTTAAAGTGACCAGACTAGGCTTATTTAGCAGACTTCTTTTTTTTGGTTCTTTTTCATTCAAGAGGCTTTTTCATTTGTGACGTTCAGTCCTCAATGAGTGAAACGCCTTCAGGAACCAAACGCACAAGTCCAGTTACATTTTTACTGAAGCTCTTAATATGACCTGGATGACTGAGAACTCATCTACAGTCTGTGTGTAATATTCAAATTGCAGGAGCTTCATTTTTTTTTGATAAAGATAAGAGGTATCCCAACATACAATTACATATGGAGCATTGTGGTGTTACAGGGATGCTGTAACCTACAAGTCCCATTCTCCACATGTGCTTGTTCAGTACAGACCACAGAAAATCACATCAGGATCATTCCTTCTCAAATCAAGACACGTTTAGAACAAGTCCTCAATGCATCAACTTTTACAGATTGTGACTCAAAAACACCAAGAATGTCAAACTCCTGTTTTCAATAGTTCCTGAGATGTTGCCAACCAAACTATCAAAGAATCAAATTTTGATGTGCAAAAAAATGGGCTAGTTGTGGGGTTGCCGGTCAATTAACAAAATAAAAACTAAAAAAATAAAGTGAAATTATATATATACACTTATATAGATCAGAAAGGTCTAAGAAAACCAATAATATCCACACTAGAGAAGCTCAAGCCAGTGGCTTTTTTGCATTTTTGCTTAGCAAATTAGTTCCTTGGTCAATCATTAGAGTAGCAAACAGAAATTTGGCCGTCTGTCAAATGGCTGATCAAATAACCAACGAACCTCCTGGGAGCAGATGTGGCCCATGTGAGCACCTCATGCATTAGGTCTGTGTGCTGCTAAAGGAAGGCCCTGCCTAATGTGACCTTTTTACCAGAGCTTTAAAGACTATACTTGACTGACAACTCCCAGGTGGTTACACCTGTAAGGGTGGGACAGCTTGTACCTGAACTGTTTTTGTTGGCCATTTGTGAGCTCATGGAATTCCTTTTATATTTCCATTTTTCTTCAGTTTAAGCAGTTTGGATCAATCAACCAGAATAACAAACTGACTGTTGAGGGGGATTACAACTAGAACTTGAAGGATTTGTAGGCACAGGTCATAGCTAAGTTTTAATGATACTTTTTGAAAGCTTATGCACATGAAAAACTTAACCGGTATTTTTGGGGCCAGATTTACTGTTGAAGAATTATTTTTTTTACAATCTAAGTAACACTTATAGCCCCATATTTAAGGCTGTAGAAGCCTTTAGCCACAAGAGACGGGCAGATATAAAATGTTTAATACTATAATGTTATTCACAGCAGAGAGAGTTTTGCTTTCTCTTGGTTTCATGTTTCTATATTTTTGTTTAAACATTTACAGTTTATTTTTACGTACAGTGCTGAGGAACGTCTACTTTTGTTTCGAGTGTATTGTATGGACGTTTTAGTTCCAGACATTTTTACTGCATGACTCTACGATGTGTTGAGTTTATATTGATAATTGCTGAAATCCTCGGCTTACCTTCATTAGCTCCCGACACATCATACTATCACAATAGATGGATTAGGACAAAAGCTAATCTGTAACTTTTTGGGTAGCTGATTAATCATGTAGGTTGTTTTTCAAGCAAAATGACAAACACTTGTTCATCCTGGCTTCTCAAATGTGAGAATATGTTGCTCTTTATTGTTTAACATTGATTTTACGCAATACCTTTAGGTTTTAAACTGTCGTTCAGTCAAAAAACTATGTGAGGTCAATCCTTTGGGCTCAGGGGAACTGTCTTAGACTTTTTGTTGTGCCTTTTCTAACTGAAGATTAAGAAAACTATTGTTTAAGTTTAATCAAAGATAGCTTAAAAAAAATAGTAGCTCAGACATATTCCTGCAGTAACTGACAGACGTGACAGCCAGTCAGATGACACTCCATTAAACATGAACCGTTACATTTATTAATTTGACTTCTTCCCTCTGCCAGGTTCCTTCTGGGGCAGCTGAAGACCTTCTGTGGCGAGTTCCTGATGAAGAAGCTGACTCTGTCCAACTGTGTCGCCGTGCACAGCCTGGCACACATGTACACACTGGACCAGCTGGCTCAGGGAGCCGCCGACACCATCAGGAGAAACTTTCACAAAGTTATCTGCAACGAGGAATTTTACACGCTGCCGTTCCACCTGGTGCGAGACTGGCTGTCTGACTCAGAAATCACAGTGGACTCTGAACAGGAGCTGTTTGAGTCCATCGTGAAATGGGTTCAACAAAACGCAGAGGAGCGAGAGAAGCACTTCGAGGAACTGTTCAGGCTTTTGAGGCTGCCGCAGATTGCTCCTACTTACCTGACGCGGGTGGTGAGGAAGGAGCACTTAGTGGCGAACAATGCGGCTTGTCTGCAGCTGGTGAGCGATGCTCTTGAGGTCCATGCTGTTCGCTTCGAGAACCTCAAGTCAGCCGATTCAGAGCTGTGTGCCTCCTACATGGCAGCGATCCAGCCCCGTTTTGGGCAGAACATGGATGTCGTCATGGTGGTAGGTGGTGTTTCAGAAGGTGGAGATTATCTGAGTGAGTGTGTGGGCTACTTTGTGGCTGAGGACCGCTGGGTCAACCTGCCACACATTCACAACCACCTTGACGGACATGCCATCGCTGTCACTGAGGGCCATGTCTACGTGGCAGGCTCCATGGAGCCCGGCTTTGCCAAGACAGTGGAGCGCTACAGCCCAAACTTCAACAGCTGGGAGCAGGTCAGCAGCCTGAACAGCCGGAAGCACTCCTTCGGCCTCACGTGTGTCAAAGACGTACTCTACAGCATCGGTGGTCATGGCAACTTCAGTCCAGGCTTCAAGGACGTCACCGTCTACGAACCGGAGCAGGACGAGTGGCTCAGTCTTGAACCTGCACCAAAGATCCTACGAGATGTCAAAACAGTGAGTGTGGAGGATCGATATGTGTACGTGATGGCCAGGACTCCCGTGGACATCGACAACGAGGACGGACTGAGCACTGTGACCACTCGCTACGACACAGAGGGTCGCAAGTGGCAGGAAGTGGACTCATTACCGCTCATTGACAACTACTGCAGTTTTCAAATGGCTGTTGCGTCCACCAACTTCTACCACACAGCCTCCTGCTGCTCCAAGAACTACAAGGTGACAGTTGAGGACGCCCAGCAGAAAATAAGCAGAAACATTTCGGACGACATCCTCGACAGCCTCCCGTCAGAGGTCCTTTCCATAGAGGGTGCTGCTGTTTGCTACCTAGGAGACGACATCTTCATCGTCGGCGGGTGGAGGAACAGCAACACCCTGGACAAGCAGTACCGCAAGGAGGCCTACCGCTACTGCGCGGAGAGGAAGCGCTGGATGCTGCTGCCGCCTTTACCTCAGCCGCGCTGCCGAGCTGCAGCCTGCCACGTTCGCATCCCGTACCAGTATCTTTACGGCAGCCAGCGCTACCCGATGCCCCAGAACCTGGCTCGCCAGAGAGACCGCATGCAGCAGATGCAGCAGCTCCATCGACGCACCCTCACTCTGCGGAGACAGCTGCAGTCTCAGATCGAATGCTGAGAATCTGCTTCGAATAACGAGCGCATCATCTGCTGATTAGTGTTTTATTGTTATCCCGAAACTTTTGTCTTATTTTTTGCCTTAATTGAAGCGAAATTTTTGCAGTGAAGGAAGATTACACTGTTCAATTTGTTGATGTAAAAAGAGAACCAATAGCTGAGGAGGCTGTTAAAACATCTGACGTAATCATTTTGGCCTTACATTATTAGCTTATGCCTTACTTTTATCCTGCTAGTAAATCCGACTGTGACTGCTGTGATATTTTCTGTGAAGATTGTTGATTTCACCACTAAGCAACATAGCTTTTTAAATCGTGGCCTTTGTGAACACCTAAGAGTTAATGATGTCAACATGAATTGTTAGAATACAACCATGACAGTTACCACCAAGACTTTCCTGTCAAATCTGGTGAGCTTAGTGTTGAGATATAAACCTAGCAAAGTAAATGATGTCTCCATTTGTTGTGATGTATCTTAGAAGAAAACAAACCAGTGTAGTGGTAATTAAAAAAAACAAAATACTGTAACAACCAGCTGAGAAAAGAAGTGTCAGCTTTCGCTCCTGTCGCTACTTGCATCCAATTGTTTTCTACCTCCGATTTCTGCCATGTATTTTTTAATTTTTTTTAATTTTTTTGGTTGGTGTCTTTTTGCACTCAAGTCATTGGAATATCAAAGTGTTGATCATGTTGTATATGGTGTGTGTTCAAATAGACAATCACGTATCTGAATTTTTGTAGCAAGCACTAAGTGTAGAGAAAAGCACATATGGGGGAACAGCGGTTTCTGTGATTTTTCTATCAAGTTTTTAGAGATTGTACAATACTTGTTGCCATTCCACTGGGTGTGATTTTGTTCTTAAATATTCCAGCTTGTCAAAAACTGTTGTATTTGACTTCCCAGGTTGCTGCATAGCTTGAAAGATGGACTAAATGCTGCCATAACAACAATGAGATGTCATTTTTTTTTGCCAAACAAGCTGTGTTTCTTTATTTAAATTTAAAAGTTGTTTTTATGCTGTAAGGTTGGCTAATGGAGCCACTTCTTAAAGATGGAAGCTTTGTGGACTTATTCACCTTGTTGGTTTTTAGTGGATTCATTTGGTGTTTTCCTCCTTTGCACTTTGCAGAATTTATTCTGCGTCTTTGTCTCAGTGAATGAAAGCTCCTGTTCACATACTGACATTGCACTGTGGAAAGACTCTATGATGTGTGAAACACATGAAACTATGGGGGTGATGTCTTTGTGCATGGTTCTCTCCATGTTCCCAACTGTGCCATAAAATCCCAGCTCTCTCTTATTACTACACTTGAATTAAATGTATTTCCTGCACTAAAGGACCTTACATGTTGCACTGTGTTCCTTTTTTCGACTCCAATATTATGACTCAGGTAGTGTTGTGCAGACCATTTATTCAGCTCAGTGTTCTCCATGGGTTCTTCGTTTCTAAAGATGTGATCTAATTAAGCTTAGTGACCTTAATGTTTTTCCTCTGACATTCTGTGCATAATGTGAATATAATTACCTGAAGAAAAAACATTTCATCAGAGGTACAATTGAAGCTGTATGAGGAGATTTTTATTTTTAAAATTTTTTTGAAAGAAAGTGCAATGTCACCCTCTAATGAAAACTATGTAGCATTATTTTTGCGTCATTTGGGTGGTTTTGCATGACAGAAAACAAAGCAACACAATGGCTGGATGTGGAAGTGGC